TATGAAAACGGTAGTAAAAATAACACAAGTTACTAAATTTATTACAAATCACTTTAGATTTTGTACATTTTAAATGTATTTCAAAGACTTAATTAATCRTTATTCCATTAAAACATGAATAGCAACACTTTAAAACTCAAAATGACCCAATTTTTCTTGTGCTGGTACCGTAAAGACATACCCACACTATTTATTAAACTYCAGAGGTCATTTGTGAATTGATACCTCAAGCTTTAAATTAAGCAAACTGTATCTCTTTACTTACACAGGAAAAGATCTAAAGATTAATACTGTCTTTTTTAATTATGTAATAACAGTATTGTTAAAAACACTTCAATTCTCCATCTCAAAAGCTTTACAATGTTTTTGCATTTTGTTAAAATTTGGCAATTTATCACCYGACCTATAGCAACAAGCTAGGTTTGTTTAGAGGAGCCGACTTGAAAACTGGATTTTTATTGATCTGTAGTGAAGTTATCAGATATTCCAGCCATATATTTAAAATCACAAATGGTTAATTTGAAAATGTTTATGCTATTTTAGTTACTGGGATCACTAAATGGCATCTTTATTATTTTTTTATGAAATTATCAATCGCACTGCAGCCTGTGCTCACTCTGACTCGTTTCGTCAGCCCGGGTTTACATTTCATCAGGCAAAGAAAAGCAGATGCAAACTTCTGGCGCACTGACTCGTYTGTATAAAATAAAACAGCTTGAACATAGAAAGCTGCTTTGTGCTCTGAATGTAGTCAAGATTAACAGTAATTTAGTCGCGTGTTTCTCAGKTTAGCGGGACAATCGTTGCAGAAACGACTGGAGCCATTCCCTTTAGATCAGAGGTGCCCAAAGTGGGGCCCACGGGCCAAAGTTGGCCCGCCAAGCCATTTGATTTGGCCCACCAGCAGTTGTCCTGGTTACTAGATTGTAATTATGTTAAATATAAAATACAAGTAACTACAAGAGACATTTAGATTAAAGTCCATATATAGATTTGCACACCTTATAAGGTCCCATATACTTAAATTTTAAATTGTGAAAAGTCCCATGAGCCTTTGCTGCCTGAGCATAAGTTGAATTTTCTCCATGTCCATGGGCTGAAAGAAAAAAAAAGTGTGGATAACCACACTGGCTGCTTGCTTAATCATAAAAAAATAAAACAACTTTATTTAAGAAGTATTTGCATTTCGTATATTATTGCATTTGGCCCATGGCCCTCAGATTGATTTTAATTTTGGCCCTCTCAGGGAAAATGTTTGGGCACCCGTGCTTTGGATGTACCTGTGGTAGGGCTCCCTCCTGTATTTCTTCATGGTGAGGCCGTCCATGTTGGCAGGCAGGTCGGCATAATTCTGCAATCGGTCGCTCCATGAAGTGGTCATGTTTCAAACTTTTCAGTGCCTGGTGACAAAGAAAGCAACACAAAGAAAGAGGGTAAAATCAGTGGACTAAGTCATATATATTCAATTAAAAGCAGTTCAAACTGAGGGGAATTCATTTATCTTGTGGACACTGTGTTTTCGATTGGATTAACAAGCGAACCTGAATGAAGTGTAAAGCCTGAGTTTTAAACTAAGATCATCTTATATTGAGAATGTTGTGATTAAACCTTGACAATAAAATATGTAAAATGTCATGATGACACAGTGTTATGACAGAATCTCTTATCATATCAAACTTAAATAAAACATAAAAAATAATAATTTTATCAAACAAACAAGCTGAAGGGATAAAAACTAAAGCCTTGAATTAAAGTTTTGTTTGAAATGCTGAGTGTTTTTCCTGCTGCTGAGGCTGCAGAGGCTGCAGGAAGGAAGGCCAAAGATCAGCTTTCTTGCTCTCAGTGACAGCATAAATGAAAACGGATCTAAAAGCTGTCAGCGGGGCCACAAATACTGCCTCTGACTCGTAAACAAAGTCAACGTGAAGCTTTTAAACGGACCTAAATAAACGCTAAGCCCTGTTTACTTCACTGCAGACCAGGAGCATGTTTTAACAGAGACGTGTGGCTTTTCTCCGTTTATTTACAGCTCGTCTTGCTTTTCTAGAAAGGTCCTTTATGGGACCTGAGCCTGCGGGGCCAGTGGGGTCTGAAGGAAGCTGTGGAACTACTTACTGCAAGAAAGAAAAAAAAAAAAAGCTTTGTTTTGTCGGGTCGACGCTGCAGCAAAGCGTTTATTTCACCGACGTGTCACTGGTTTCCAGTTATATTTGTGTTTGAGCAGGAATATTTTCAGAAAAGTGTGCAGGTTACAGTTCAAATACGTGGTGCAGGTCGCTGTAAAGAACAGCTTGTTCGCATCAAGCAGCCGATAACACTGGCAGGCTTTAGCTAACAGTCTCCTGAACAAAAAGTATCCATGTTTTTAATCTGGCATTAATGCAAAGCGTAGCTCAGATGTTTAGACTAACCCGGTGGCTGCCTCTGATGGGAAGAGAAAAGAAAAATACGAGCAGTTTCACCCCGCTGCTCGGATTGCTCCACTCACCGATCTGAGTTCCTGGATCGATGCGCCGTCTGATAGTTTGCGCATGCGCAGTGAGCCGTGTCAAAAGACGGTGTTTTTCTGTCTGTCTGCAGCTTTGAAGCGAAGCGCTGGTTGGGACTCTGTGGAGCCAGGAAGCAGCTAAGTGTTTACGCTGAACTCGCTCTCTAAAGTCTCTCCGAGCCGCCAGCTGCTGTTATGAGMCTTTCAGAGGGAGGTGTCGATGCTCGTCACAAAGGGGCGGGGCTGCCAGTGCCACGTGACAAGTGATGACAATGGAGGACCAAAGCTGCCATAATTTAGAAAAAATATATAAAATTTTAACACTATCTTAATTCACATTTTAAACTAAAGCCATAAATGTTGTCAACCTACACAAACGTCAATTAATTTAACTTAAAWTTTTGTGCTTCTATATAAAGAGAGTCAAATTTATGTTTTACCTAGGGTCACACAGCTTTATGGTGGCCCTCAAATGGCCAATTGTAATTAATGTCGGTAATTTATGAAATTCAATTTATGTAATTTATGATAATTTACGAAACCCTGGGTTCGTACGAGCCTGAAGGAGCGAACAACTTTAATCCAGGGAATAAGATTGTGGAACAGCATAGAAGATGAGGTTTAAAATGCCAGATCCTTGTATATATATTGAAGAGAATCTTAAAAAATAATATTCTGAAGAAATATAGAGAATTATAAGTGAATTCGTGCCAATTGTTGTTTGAGTTGGTGTCTTAAATTTTGTTTTTAATTCATTTTCAAGTGTTTTAAGT